GGACGCGTAAGAGCCTTCTGATCCAGAATAGTCTGTAGGGATCTCGGCAGGACGTGGGCCAATCGCGTAGATCAAAGAGCCCACGAGAAGGTCGAGTCAAGGAGAGATGGCCAGAAGAGGATGCAGAGGGTGTGTCAAGGCGTGTCAAGGCACATGGGATGGATAGTTACTGCGGCGTTGAGCATGTGGAGCGGTGACATAGATAATCAAAAGTAGGTGCGAATCGGAGAAGTTACTGTATTGGAGGTGCTGAGGATGGCAGACGACTGGCTATGCTGTCTACCACCACCAAGACTATGATCTCAAGAAACGCTACCTGGCTCTGCTCCCTCCAAACCAGATCATCGACATTGTCCTCAACTTTGACCTCCATGTCCCCCCTTTCATAAAAAGCACTGTATGGCCAGCTGACATCAACGCTGCAATATCTGCCATCCAGAACCAAAAGGACCCACCAGACAAAGACACTCCTGCTGCCCCTGCTGATGCCTCTTCGTCAACTCCATCTCCATATCCCCACCAACCCTATGGCTACCAGGCTGCCTACCCCCATGCTCCCTACTACCAGCCTCCCCCAGGCTATCCCCCGTATCCCCCATATCCCTACCCAACCGCCTATCCCCAACCCCATGCCCCATATCCCCAGCCAACATCCCTCCCCTACGCCCCTCCCCCCGTCCCACAGCCCCAGCCACAAGACCCCTTCTCCACCAATCCCGGCCCAGCAGACGACCTCCCCAGCTACGAAGAGATGATCGTCGAGGCCCTCACAGAGATCACAGACCCCGAGGGCTGCGCTCCAAAAGACTTGTTCACATGGATGGCCTCGCGCTATCCCCTCCAGCAAAATTTTCGCCCCTCCGCAAGCCAAGCTCTCCAAAAGGCCTTTAAGCGAGGCCGCTTCCAAAAAAGCAGCGGCGGAAAGTACAGACTCAACACCGCATGGGAAGGCGGCAACGTAAGATCTATCGTTTCGTACTCTTGGATCTCCTACTCATCGCAAACAGACCTCTAGACGCACCACACGCCGTCCACAGACCCAAAACGCCACCTCCGCGTCCCCAGCGCCCGCGTCACCGTTCACACACGCCCCGCTCGTGCACCACAACCAGCAAGCGCAAGCGTCCGCGTTCCAGGCCCAACCATTCGGGTACTCGTTCCAACAACAGCCCGCACCCGCCGGGTTCACCGCCGTCGCGCCCACGCAACCACCGACACAGGCGCAAGCGGCAGCCACTACGCCCGCGCAGCCCAGCGCAGCCGCAGCGGGCACCACCTCCCCGTCCACGGCGCCTGCCGACGCGGCCCAGGCCGCGACAAACTCGGCGCAGGACGCGTGGGAGGCCGCGCAGAATATCCTCAAGGCCATCAACTTTGATTCGCTGCTGTCGCTTCCGGGCGATGAAGAGAAGGATGGCAGCATCGTTGCCGACCAGCCCGTCGCGAGCGCCAGTGCCAGCACCTCACCCGCCCTCCTTCCCGCCGCGGTACCGCTGCCGGCACCGGTGCCCCATGTCAACGGCGACATGGGCGCCCAGGACCACGACCAGCAACAGTATGCGGCAGGGCGCGCGGAGCTGCAGGCGCAGTTGGCGTTGTTGGCTGCGCAGCTGGCTGAGCTGTCGCAGGAGGACGAGGGGGACTCGGTGGTGCATTATCCGGTTGTTGTGCCTATGGCTGCACCAGCGGCTGCACCAGCACCAGCACCAGCGCCTGCGTACCCCGCCCCACCTGCACCTGCACCCGCACCAACACCTGCTGCCCCAATGGCAGCACTCCACCCGCCACCTGTGGCGGCGCATCCTCATTCACACCCATACCCGCACCTACTCCCCGCACCCCCCGTCATGGCGAGCCTAACGCCGCATTACGGTGTGCCGATGCCGATGTACGCGCCACCACCACCACCACCAGCGGCGGCGGCACCGACACCAGCAGGCAGCGTGGCGCCGCAGCCTGTGTCTGTGTCTGTTCCTCCGATATCGAACGCGACTGTGAGCTCGAATTCGAATTCTAATGCGGGTGTATCTGCGTCTGCGCCTGTGTCTGCACCTGCACCAGCGCCACCTCAGCCTCAACCTCAGCAACCGCCACAACCCCAACTACCTCCGCCACCGCCTCCACAACAACAGCAGCAGCAGCAGCAGCAACCGCTGCCTGTGCAGGCGATCCCTGAGGAAGAGGAGGATAGTGAGGACGACGATGATATGGAGGAGGTGATATGATACGATACGACAGGTCGGGTCGTTGGGTCGTTGGTTGCATATTGCATTTGGTTTATCCTAGGTGTAATTTTAGACGTGCGTACTGATACGTGCTTTGTATTTTTCGTTTCGTTTCGTTTCGACGTGGATGTGGAATGCCATCGAGCTACATTGCTATCGTTTTAAACCCCTTCCCTTCGTACGTGCGATGAGTATACATCTGTGGCGTCCTGTACTAAGCAACACCAGCGGACAAATCCCGAGTCTGTATGGTACGGTATACACATATCTATTACAACCCAAAGCCCAGCCCGGGCCCAGGCGCAGAGGTTAAACGTTAACTTGAAGAAGCTCATCTGCTCTACATTATCATACCCCGAGTCTGTACATGTCAGGCTAGCGCTCAGACTATGCACTCTAGATCTGCACGGGCACCACGGTCGTCCCCTGGGGCGTAGTAATTATAACCGTCACACCCCCACTGCCACCGTCATCCGAAATACGCACAGTATACCCCCTCGGCAGAAACGCGCCAAACTCGTGTATGAGCATGGGATTGTCACGGAAGAGCGCCGCTACGCGCGAGATGACGGCGTTGGTGTCGATTCTATAATATAAGCATATCACAATTATTACTGCAAGCCATGTATGCCATAGAAACCCGGGACGCGTACGTACGCTTGAGATTTAAAATCCTTCATTATATCTAGGAACCCGGTGTACACCTCTGGTTTGTCGCGGTACATGGTCTTGATGGTATCGATGTAATGGAGGGCGTCAGAGATGTTTAAATCCTGCTGCTGGTTTGGATCTGCTGAGGCACTGGCAGGCATCGAGGGATTCAAAGGGTGCCGGTGAGCGAGCGCTTGGGCACAGCAGTTACCAGTTACCCTGACACCTCTTTTTTTATATCTGTATCAGCGGCCGCGGAGCTCTAAGCTCTTGCATTTTGCGTACATGCCACTATGATCGCTGTGATCGTGATGATTGTGCGCGTGATGATCTGAAGATTATCGCTTAGCCGTAGATGTGCACGCACTTGGCATCATCAATCCTAAAACCACCACCTGTGACCTCGGTCAAGTACTTTACAGCTATGGCTAAGAAAAAGACAGCAAGCTACGCCTAAAACATCGTCCTCTACAACCAAGGTTGAAACTCAACCAGACTACACCCATCGATTCCCCGAGCTTTCTGCGAAACAAGACCTTGAATGCCGAACACTGGTCGAGGACCAGATCCTCCTCATCGACGTATGTAGCACACCTGCACCAAACCTCCGATACCGCCATCTGATACTTGTAAAATAATCTGAACAGGAACTGTTCTCCCCCGCAGAATGCAAAACGTTCGTCAAGTTCATCAACGAGCTTCCTCTCGAGCTTACGCCGCCCAAAAAACGCGGTGAGGCGGAGCGCGTCAACCGTACGTCGCGAGCTCTTCCCTGCCTTCATTCAAGTTGATTGATATTTGACTCTAGACCGCATGTCCATAACCTCCGTCGCCTTCGCCCAACGACTCCACGCCCTCCTGGCGCCCCACCTCCCGTCGTTCCCGTACCCCACCTCCGCGAAACGCACGAGGAAGGAAGGGGACCCCCCGCGTCTTCCGCATTCGCTCAACTCCAATATACGTGTGTACAAGTACACCCCAGACCAACATTTCGGGTGCGTTCCTCAGCAACGATATATATATATACACATCGCGCCTGCAATCCAGCTGACGAGTAAAATGCAGGAAACACTACGACGATTCCGTGCGGGACCCCATGACGGGCGCCAAATCGGAGTGGACGCTGTTGATATACCTGACGGGTGTTGAGGACGGTGTGGAGGGTGGCGAGGTAAGCCTCTCCCCCACCCGTGTATTTCTTTGAATGCAGTAGCTCACCTGCGATGCCAGACCCTCTTCTACAAAGACGAGCGAGGGAAGGCGCAAGAGGTCATCACGGCGCCCTTGACGAGGGGCACTGCTCTGCTACACCGGTACGCACAAATTGCTTCCTTCTGCGCATATCCTAACAAGTGACGCTCGTAGGCACGGGCAGGAATGCATGTTGCACGAAGGGTCCAGAGTCATCAAAGGCAACAAATATGTTCTGCGTTCTGATCTCATGTTCATGAGATGAGGCGAACGCAAAACCAACCTAGGTCCCACCCAGGCTGTGCCTAGCGCTTGTGGTTTTTAACCCTTCTTCGTTCGCGTCAGCGTCCCTCCTCACTGGAAACCACATCGTCATCGCTGTCCCGGCATGTCTGCCTTCCTCGCGCCGCTGTTTTCGACCCTCTGAGTCCCTGCCTGTCCCTTGATAGCCCCCAGCCTCACCTTTTCTCGAGCAGGGTGATCTCCCGGCGTCTATAAGCCATAGCTCCATCTTCTTTTCAGCGCTCGCTCCAAGTTCTATTCTCTGCCCTAGTTCCATCCTCACATTGCGTGACGAGAGTTAATGACTTTCCTGCCGAGTCGGTTGAACGCGTCGTTCTGGTTAATAACGAGGTTTTATTGGGGTTATGCTTTCCAGTGAAAAGGAGGTCCGGGGTTAAATAACTGGATTATGGACAGAGCACTCGGCGAACCATCTCAGTATTTTGAGTGGGTCGGGGGTAATGCTTACTCCTCAGAACCGCTAACCGCAGATGCGGGACAACGGTAGCTAGAATTGATGGCGATAATAAAGCAACTGCAAACTTATAATGAACAAAACTGCTTATTCTTGCGGCTCAGTGAGGACAACCGCCGCAAGCTTCCCCCTGTAATTGACTCCTCAGCTTCTTCCAAATCGCAGTAGGGGTCACGGTCACTTTGCCGGAGTGGTTAACGGGATCGCCTGCTACCTATACAAGGTGCTATCGTGAGCGGTTGGGCTTTGCCCGCGAGTGTTCGAATCGCTCAGGTGACGGCCTTTTGCATTTCGGTTCCACAAGAGGATCATCAGAGTCCTTGACGACAGACAGGGAGAGCTTCTATCCTTTTTTGATCCTTCTGCAACGCCATTTTGCATCCCGTTTGCGTCACGATCGCCGATGATATACGAGATACAACGGCACCCTTGTTTTCTCATAGATATGCAGTCTCAGCATAGATGCAATGATTCGAGGGTCAAGCCATATATATCAATGTCTGTGGCGCAGAGGGATACCAGATTGTGGTAGCCAACTCTCGATCGATCATCACAGTCACTTTGCCGGAGTGGTTAACGGGATCGCCTGCTACCAAACATCTAGCGGTTGCACTTTGTGCGCGAGTGTTCGAATCGCTCAGGTGACGCGTTGTTTTATCGTTTTGCACCGCGAATCAGACGTCCCTGTTCTTAAGCGATCACATTTCGACTTTTCGCGTCGGATTTGACTTGCCACGGGTCTTGTTGATTCCAATGCACCTTTCCGACGCTTCATGACGGTCTGACGTCCTCTGTTCCCTCGATCTTCGTCTATACATCGAGTTTTTCCAAGTCCAAGAACCTCAGATCTGTATCAGGAATGGTTGAACAGATTGACAACCTTCCATAACTTATCTGACTGTGGCGCATAGTCACTGGTAACATGAAACTTGGCTTTGTAGTGACTTTGCGGAGTGGTTAACGGGATCGCCTACTACTAAGTGAGAGAGGGCGCGGAGAAGGAGGGTGTATCGTGCGAAGGTTAGGCAGGGACAGGGAAGCTGGATGAATGTGACGTTTGGGATCGAGGGCGAGGGGGCAGAGGCGAGGTTTATCGCGAAGGCAGAGAAGAGGAATCTCAAGGGCCTCAAGGGACATCGGCGCATTGGTATTTCGTGAAACATGAGACAATAATCTAATTCTCTGCTAGCTCTGTCGGTGGTATGCGCGCATCGTTATACAACGCGGTTACAGACGAGTGGGTCGACCAACTCGTCGTCTAC